GAGCTGCAGAAATGCATTTAATCAGTGCTTTAGCACCGGCGTGTCGCCCAAGCAGCTGCTTCTGAAGAGCCGTACTCTCTCTTTGAGCTTTACAGACACTAAAGCTGACAGACACCCGTCTCCATCTGTCTGTCCGAGCCGCAGACACATCTCTGCACCGGCTGAACCTGAGCAAAGCTGGGTTTCAAATGCATCTTTATGTAGGAGCAGTACAATAGTGATGTAATGTAGAGATTAACCATACTGAACATGTTATTCTCATTAACTATAACTAAACTATTCAACATATTTATGTAAATAGAAAAAAAACTAAAACAGAAATAAAATAAAATATAAAAAATAAAATGATTTACTATTTTACTATTTTATTTTAGTTTGTTGCAGTCAACATTTGGAATTTTCATTTAAATTTGAAGTATTAAAATAACTAACAGAAAATAATACAAATTGATACAAATTAGAAATTAATTCATTAGAATTTTTTTTTAAATAGAAAAATATGCATTTTTTACATGAACTCAATTGTTAAAATTAAAGTTTTAGTAATTAGTAATTTAGTCAAGTTTTAGTTTAATTAACTTTTTTATTTCATTCAAATTTGAAGTATTAAAATAACTGAAACTGAAAACATCAAACTAAAATTAATACAAAAAAATAAATAGACATATTTTTTAAATAACTAAAATTAAAAAGAAAACAGAAAATGTAAAAATAAAAATAATTCAAAATATTAATAAAAATATACTACTATAATAACAATGCTAAAAAAAGCACTGCTATCCATGTGTTTTTATGCACATTTTGGGATTTATGGTTTGAAAGATGCACATAAGAAATGCATATGTTTACTTGAGGTAAATACAATTATTTTGTAACAAGATATGCACATCTAATTTTGTTTAGTTAAAGTTGAAGTACTAAAATGACTAAAACTGAAAATAACTAAATCTGAAATAAAATTAATAATTAAAATTAAAAATTACTACAACTTTAAAATTGTAAAACCAATTCCTAATATTAATAAAAACTCTGTTAGCAATACTAAAATAGCTATCCATGTATTTTTTTATGCAAATTTTGGAATATATGGTGAGAAATATGTGCATTAAAAATGCATGTTTACTTAAAGAGAAAGTACTAAAATAACCAAAAATAAAACAGACAAAATTAAAATATAAAATAAAATACTAAAAAATACAAATGTAAAAATTAAAAATTTAAAGAAAATGGAAAACAAAAAACTCAAAGTATTAATAAAAACTATGGTACTATATTTACAACACTAAAATGGTGCTGTACTTTCATGTATTTTATGCACATTTTGGCACATATGGTTGAATAGACGTGAATAAAATGTGTAAGAAATGCATATGTTTACTTGAGATGGATACATTTATTTGATAAAAATAAATTTCACATCAAATGAAAGCACATTTAGCAAATAAATGTATAGATGTGCATTTAAAAACCCATGTGAAAGTTTCCCAGAAGTGATGATTTTGTTCTCTCGAACACACGGGACGGAAACGCTGCTTTACTGACAAACTGTTTTTGTGGTATTTTGCATACATTTAAATTGCAGAGAGCTTTTGTCCTCCCTCACACACACACACACACACACACACACACACACACACACTGTGTCTTGTATGATTTCTGGGGTCCTGATCATCTATTGGCGTGATCTGACAGCATAATCTCATTGAGCCTCATTCAGAATTCCACAGCCGTTTCGTTCTGTTGAGATTCGTATCTCTCTCACACACACACACACACACACTCACTCACACACTCACGCACACACACACACACACACACAC